CCCATCTCCCATCACAACTGTTGGGAGCGATCTTCATCTCCCCATCCCATCTCGCATCACAACTGCATTGGGGAGAGAAGCATCGAAGCAGCGATTTTAATCTCCCCGTCGGAGGAGCGATCGAAGCAACGAACCAAGGAACCAGGAGGCGAGTAACAGCTATAGTCTATTAGCGAAAAAAAAAAAAACAAAAAAAACAGCGAAGCAGCGATAGAAGCAGCGATCTTCATCTCCACATCCCATCTCCCCGTCCCATCTCCCCATCTCATCTCCCGTTAGAACTGTTGGGAGCGATCTTCATCTCCCCATTCGATCTCCCATCGCAACTGTGTTGGGGATACAAGCATCGAAGCAGCGATAGAAGCAGATATCTTCATCTTCGCATCCCATCTCCCCATATAAGCAGCGATCGGAGCAGCAATCGAACCAGCAAGCGAGTAACAGCTAGTGTCTGTTAGCAAAAAAAGAAAAAGGAAAAGAACGTTTAGAAGATTGGGGAGCAATCAGGCGATTTCCACGCACCTTTGCTTGCCATGCAGGAATGCCAACAGCGTGCCAACTGCAATGCAAGATCGTGCACGTGCCGAATGTACGCGCTTGGTATGGTAGCTCCCGCATCTTCGATTGGGGGGAGAAAGATGTGGAGGCCTTCGACTGCACGATGGGAGTGGCTGAACAGGAGTCCAAAGATTACCCTCGCACCCGCAATGGAAACAGAATTGCTGGGGCAATCACGAAAATGTCGGGTCGATGTGCAGTTCCCGACCTCAGTGTTGCCGTCATCACTGTTCAGGAGCAATGGAACAGTTGTCCACGAAACCCTCAGCAAGGCACGTTTTCCTGCCGAAAAATACGGGGAAAAAAACAGATGTGAAGCCTTCGACTGCAGGCTTCCCCATTGCCACGATGGGAGTGGCTGAACAGGATTCCACAGATTACCCTCGCGCCCGCAATGGAAACAGAATTGCTGGGGCAATCACGAAAATGTCAGGTCGATGTGCAGTTTCCGGCTGCAGTGTTGCCGTCACCACTGTTGAGGAGCAATGGCGCAGCAGTCCACGAAACCCTCAGCAAGGCATGGTTTCCTGCCGAAAAAAACGGAAAAAAAAAAGGTCGGGCCCGACTCTGGAAACCRCTAAACCGGGCCACGTTCTAAGCCCCCTTCTCCCCCCCGCCCCCGCAAGGCCCAACACATGACAAAATGGGCCGAATTTGTCAAATGGGAGGGAAAAAAAAAAAAAGGCCTGGTCCAACCCCCCAAACCGAATTATATTTTTTTCTCCGGGTCAGGGCGTCGCCCGGTGCCCGTTTCTCACCATTTTGCGGTTGGTCTGAAAAAAAAAAAAAAAAACGGCGGGAAAAGTTAGTCCTCGTGCCACGTTCTCTCAATTGTTTTGGATGGGAGGGCAAAACGAACGCATTCGAGCTCGTGTGTTGTCGCCATCGCTCGCGCCTCGGCCTCACCCGCGTCGTGCACTGCTCGTGCGTTATCGCCACTGCTCTTGCGCCAAACCCAGCTCCGCGTCACACACATCGTCCGCACCAATCATTCCACTCGACTTGGGGCAAGGGTGCAGCACGGCCATTGCACGTGGCCTGTCATCTCGCATCAGGCAGGGAGCAACAGCTAAAGAGGTGCGCCAGACAAAACTTTGTTTTTCAAACCTTTTTCCCTTCGCTGTCTTCCTTCGACTTATGTCACCACGCGTTTTCTGTTTTCAGTCATGTGGAAGATGCCTCTTCGTCAGTTTTCGTTTTTTTTGGATATTTTCTTGTCCCTTGGACAGTGGACAAAACACCTGCATGGGAACTTCGTTTGTGGTGTCGCAAAAAGTCTCCTTTGTTTGTTTCGGCGAGACATCATCCATAAAAAGTTCCTTGCGGTTAGTGGTTTTGGGAACCCGTGGAAACTGCATCTTTGATGCCTTGGGTGTCGCATGGGGGGTTTCCATTCAGTCATTTCATGCCGGTGGATTTCGTGGACCTTTTTTATAAAAGTTGTTACTTTTTCATTCTGGATTTTCTGTTTTTTCTTCTTGTTTGTGTTCRCCTTGCTTTTTTGGTGACTGGAAATACGGAACTGCACGGTGTGCGGGATATCCTCGAATGGATAGAATGATTTTAAAATCTGGATAGTGCGTAATAGTATTGAAATGGTTGTGCGGCACAGTTGAAAACAGCCTTGATCACATTGGCAGCTGACACGACCGAGTGTTTCTTCAGGGGCAGCAGGGAGAAAAACTCCTTCGTGCATGCACTTGACTTGCCACCCTCTGCACGTCATGTTCCTTACCACACTTTGGCGACATCGTTGTTCTTTCCATACTTAAGAACGTCCCATCGTGCATGCACATCGCGCGCCACCCTGTGCACGTCGTGTTTGTTTGCCCACGTTTGTTGGTCGCGGCCACATTGCCATCCGATTGGCGGACAGGGTGTAAGGCGAGAAGATTGATGGCGAGAACAGTGGATGGCAAGAAGAGTGGGGCGGGAAGGGTGCATGGTCGGAAGCCTTGATGGCGGGAAGGGTGGGTGACAGCCTTGATGGCGAGAAGAGCGGATGGAGAGGAGAGTGAATGGCGGGAAGAGTGGATGGCGAGAAGAGTGGATGGCGGGAAAGGTGGGTGACAACCTTGATGGGGGGAAAGGTGGGCGGAAGCCTTTATGGCGAGAAGAGTGGATGGCGAGAAGAGAAGGGCGGACGCCTTGATGTCGGGAAGGGTGCGGCGGGAAGATGTATGGTGTGGGTTCGCGTTCAAACACGACCATCGGATGGCGGGAAGGGTGCATCGAAGCCCGACCATCGGATGGTGGGGTGTCACGTTGAAGCCTGACCATCGAATGGTGGGGTGTCGTGTTGAAGCCTGACCATCGGATGGTGGGGTGTCGCGTTGAAGCCCGACCATCGGATGTGGGGTATCACGTTGAAGCCCGACCATTGGATGGTGGGGTGTCGCGTTGAAGCCTGACCATCGGATGGTGGGGTGTCACGTTGAAACCCGACCATCGGATGGCAGGATGATGGCGACACGGTCGGACGGTCGTGCGGCCGGATGTTCGAAGGTTCGGGGTTCAGGTGAGGGTGGTCGGATGGCAGTATGGTTGGACAGTCGAATGGTCCGACGGGCGGACTGCGAAATTGTTGGCCGGTGGGCTGGTCGGGTGGTCGGATGGCAGGATGGTTGGCTGCTCGCCTCGTCGGATGGTCGGGTGGTCGTACGGTCGTACAGTCGGGCGGCCGGACGGTCCGATGGTCGGATGGTCGGACGTTTCGGGCCCGTTCGGGTGGTCGGATGGTTGGCTGGTAGGATTGCAGGCTGGTCGGGTGGTGTGACGGTCGAATAGATGGTTCGACGGCCGGTCGTTTGTGCCTTACGGTTCAACTCAGGCTCGTCGGCTGCCGGGATGGTTGGACAGTCGGATGGTCAGACGGTCGGATTGTAAAATTGTTCGAAGGCGGGATGGTCGGACGGTCGGAAGGCAAGATGGTCGGCTGGCAGGATGGTGGGACGGGCAGGTTGGCGGGATGCTGCGATAGGAGGATGTTCGAATGGCAGGATGGCAGGATGGCAGGATGGCAGGACGGTCTGGTGGCCGGATGGCAGGACGATGGTTCAGGGTCTAGGGTTTAGGGTTCAAGGTCGGGTCCGACTCCCTGGATGGTGTAGGGTTTAGGGTTCGGGCCGGGTCGCGGGATGGCAGGATGGTCGGATGGTCGGGTGGTCAGGTTGCAGGACATCGGGAAGGTCGCATGGTTCGACAGTCGGTAGTGTGTGGTTCAGGGTCTAGGGTTTAGGGTTCAAGGTCGGGTCTGACTCCCTGGATGGTGTAGGGTTTAGGGTTCTCGTCGGGTGGCGGGATGGCAGTATGGTTGGATGGCTGGGTGGTCCGATTGCAGCACGTCGGGAAGGTCGCATGGTTGGACGGTCGATCGTGTGTGGTTCAGGGTCTAGGGTTTAGGGTTCAAGGTCGGGTCCGCCTCCCTGGATGGTGCAGGGTTTAGGGTTCTGGTCAGGTCGGGCTCCGTGGGTGGTCGGATGGTCTGGTGGGCGGAGGGTCGGGTGGTGGGATGGCAGGATGGAAGGATGGCCTCGTTGGAGGCTTGAGCACGGATGTGGCTGCTATGGGGTTCCCCGTAATACTATAATGACAATAAAAAAAGGCCTGAAAGGCCGTCCTGTCCAGATTTGACAGGTAATTGAATTGGTTGGG